ATATATATATATATATATATATATATATACACACACATACATACATACATACATACATACATACATACATACATATACAATTTCATTTTCATGTAAGAATTTAGAGGAAGTAAAAGATGGTGGTTTTACAGAACCCAAGAGGAGTTTATTTAATATCCAGCAAACTTATGTCTAATGATTAAAGTTCCAGGCTAAAAAAATAGAAGACTCTTGAGTTCTAGTCCTACCTTTAGTTTGAAGCCAGCTGGATATCCTTGAGCCAGTTACTCTCTCTGTCTCTCAACCCCAGACAATGGCAACTTATCTCTAAAGAATCTCGCCAAAAATACTGCAGGGACTACTTGTCCAAGCAGCCATCAGGAATCAGCAGTGATTCACTGATTTGAACACACACACACACCACACAAGAGAGAGGGGGGAGGGAGGGAGGGAGGGAGGGAGGGGGAGAGAGAGAGAGAATATAATCAAGCTATTCTACCACTGCTAACTAGAACTGTTGGGGGAGATTTGCTCTACATCACATTTTCTAAACTTATATGTGAAAGTAAATGCACATATGCTGAGATCTACAGTTTGGGAGTCTTTGGATGTAATTTGTAACTCAAAAGAAGTATGTCCCCAAAACTATGCATTATGTTAGCACATTCAAAGCCTGCCTTCTTTAAAATTCTGTAAGTCTTTTTCTCTGGTGGGCTGAAAATTACGTTAACACAAAAATACACTTATCTTGCAAGTAGATAACCATTACCTAAGTAAGTAATCATTGTATCCAGAACTTTTACTGCCGCACTGTAAATCCCAGAATTCTTTGAGTTTAAGTTGTCCATCACTATAGTCACCACAGAGAACAGGACTGGATTAAAGCCATTTTTAAGCAATGGAATCATGGAGACAACTGATTCTAATGCATACTGGTTCACCTTCTTGTTGGAATCTTGAAGCCTCAGTGTAAAAGTGTCAAAAATCTGTTAACATTAAGAAAATAAGCAAATAAATTTTACCATAAATATTATATATAGAAATGTGGGAATTCTTCCAACAAGTTATGAGCCAGTACATGAACATTTTGTTTGAATATATTTTGCGAGAAACATATCTCTTGTATTCACCCTCATTTATCAAATGTTAATAGAGGTCATTTGCAACAAATCCAACCATCCTCCAATTCATTCACCAAAGTCCACATTTAGCATAAGATCACAGCTGTAAAAGTAGAATTGTTCATGTTTAAGGTATAATAGGTTAACTTGTTCATTAAGGATGTTATATGGCAGGGCTGTCAAACTCTTGGCTTGCGGGTCAAAAGCATCATGCGCTGGCCACACCCACGCCTAGTTTAGGGAAGGGGAAAAAAGTCCTGATATGTCACGTGATGACACCATGACACCGTGAGTTTGACACCTTTGTTATATAGTATGAAAGAAAGCTCCCTTTTTAAGTTGTCTACCTTCAAGGTGGGAAACAAGAGGTACAGGAAATATGCTAATGTTCCTATGGGAAACAGTTTTAAATTGAGGGACTAATACAGGCATGTCAAACTCGATTTCATTGAGGGCCGCATCAGGGTTGTGTTTGATCTTGGGGGGCTGAGTTGGGTTTGGGTGGGTATGGCCAGCTCAACATCACTTGTGTCAGGGGCACCTGTGGTGGCCTGAGAGCTCTGGCAGTAAAAATGGGCTCCTGAGCTCCGTTTTCAGCTGTGACAGCCTCCTGCATCTCCCTGCCAGTGAAAATGGAGCCCTCCCAAGCTCCATTTTCCCTGGCACAGGCACTGCGGGCTGGTCCTTTACTGTTTTCTGGGTGGCCCCGCGGGCCAGATCTAAGCACCCCATGGGCCGGATCCAATACAGGAGTTTGACACCCCTGGACTAATAATATCAGTCTCTAAATGAGATAAAAGCAGAACTGTTTCTATTCCTGATGTTTTAACAGTTAACAAGATAAAGCAAAACTGGATCTCCAACAAGGAGAGTCCATTATAAATAATTCTTCATAAAACTATTATAAATAATTCTTCATAAAAATTCTTGGAGAAACATTTTTAAAAAAAGAGTAAAATTAATTCAACTGGCTGGGTGCTAGGATGGTACTGCCCTTGCAAGTTTAATAAATATTGATGTTTTAATTAAGGATACTGGTAATCATAATGGATACCTGCACAATATTTGAGGAGACAAAGTGTGGGTTCTTCTTGCAATGATCCATTAGTAAGGTTATTCCATCAATTCGTATCTGAAATTCCTTGGCCACAAGCAGTTTGTTCAAGTCCTTCAGCTGCTCCATTACATCTATGCTGCGAAGTGAGGAGCAACGAGCTGCAGATTGCGAGAAATTAAGAACATCTGAGGTAGACCTGTAGTTGAAAAGTGAAAAGCTTTTCATCACATTTGCCAACCATATTATATTACAGTAAACAATTTTATCAAGCCCTGAAAGGAAGCACAATTTGTGATATGCCAAAATTTATTGTGCAAGTTAAGCAAAGTTCATTTAACCTTCATGAGTCATTCCAGATGCAAGATGGACAACTCTGAATCTACTTCAGAATAGTATGGAAAATTAGGCAAAGCTGGAGGTGGGATTCTTTTAATTTATTTCCTTGAGTTTACAAGTGCATGAACACATTCCTCATTGATTCTAAATAACATATAAGAGATCAAGCTAACTAATTATATGATATTATAAAAACATGTATGCAATTAAAAACAATGCAATACAATTAGTAGCATTAAAAAAAAACATTTGAACATTCTAAGTAGGCCAATGGCTTGTTAAAAGCCCCATCTCCCAGACAACTGTTGATGTTTGATACATCTATAGTGGGATCTTCAAAAGTCCTGTGGGTGTGGGGTAGATTATAGAGAAGCAGTCAGTGCTATAGGTTTTATGATCTCAAACTGTGTAAGATTTTCTACTGCAAAGTAAGGGTTTTAATTAGTCTTGGAAATAAACTGACACAAAGAGTAGGTATTCCAATATAGGGATGATTTTTGAGAAGCTTCAACTTGCCCACCATATTCACAGCTAACTGCAGCTTCCAAAATGCCCCACCAAAATGAATTACCCTAAATCAAATTTGAGATCTTATGTAACTGATGTATATCTTTCTTCTCCAGATAGGGACACAACTGGTTTATCAACCAAAACTGATAAAACTGTGCCTTTGGCACAGATTTTGTGTGATTTTTAATGTGCACACTGGATTTAAGAGAATCTAATCTGATTTATGCCTTGCAGAGGAAAACAAGCTGCAACAGCCCAATCTTCACGACAGAGTGACCAGTCAAGAACAAGAATACATCTCCTTCAAACATATCTGGTTGTCCCCCTTGACTTAATATAAGATCAGGCACGCTATTCTTTTTGTTAGAGACCAAAATAGCATTCAAAAGAAGAAGAAGTATCAAGAGTTGTAGATGCTCAGCCCAAGTCTTCAGATAAACTTAATGGATATAAAAGCTACAGACAGAAGTTGTTATGACTGAATGGGTTCTACCTCCCCTCATAAGACTGCTTCTTCTTTGTCCATTATATGTCCCTTTGCTCATACTCCTTTGATGAAGTATCCTTTTAGCCTTCCAGAAGAGGCTAAAGAACTCATATGCAGTCCACAACAACAATAAGAGTATGAATTATACAAAGGAAATGGGGGTAAGAAGAGCAGGAGTCCACAGAGCAAAAGAACAATTGTAAATTTGAACAGTAGGTCTGGAGAATAGAGACTCTACTCTTGGTTGTGCAAATGATTTCAAATGATTAAAAACACAGAATCTATAATTTTTCTTCCTCGGTTATTAGCAATTTCCTTCTCTCTTTCCATAAAATATATCCTGTTTTTTTATTCCTTGCTGCTCTGTTAATGCTGCTAGTCCTGCTAATTGCTAAAAATTGTAATTTCATGCTGCAGGCAATTCCAACCAGGGGATGTCGCTCACTCAGTGCCAAAAGAGATGGCTTCCACCAGGTGTGGAGCTCTGCAGCAAAGGGCAAGCAGGCAGTGTGTATTTCCAAAACATTCTCCCCAAGCCATCAAGCTCTCTCTGCAGCTTGAGTGGGAAGACAAGTAGTAAATTCAGCTGGCAATTTGCTTCTCTGAGATGGCAAACTTTGAAGAAAACTTATACGCATTCTAAAAAGAGAGAAGAAGATTAGCACCCTATATACAGTAAGTCTGGGTGCTTATCAAAAGGCAACAAAGGGACACAGCCAAATAACGCTTCACTAAAGGCTTCTTGAAGGTGTTCTGCCTGGATGCAGAAACTCTGTTCTACGGCAGGGGTCTCCAAACTTGGAAGCTTTAAACTTGTAGACTTCAACTCCCAGAATTCCTTGGCCAGCCATGCTTAAGTCTTAAAGTTGCCATGCTTGAAGACCCCTGTTCTAGAGGGCAGACAAAAGTTTTCACAAGTAAAAGTCTGCTCTCCTAAATTAAGAGTTTTTAGCAGTGGCATAAACTATGTGTCAACGTCAAAATGGATCGGGCCTGTCACAGCCATTTTCTCCGTTTCTCAGCTTGACACACTTTGTGGGGAGGAGGGAGTTCTGGAATGTTAGACCAGACCAGACATCAACAACTTACTACGTATGAGAACCAAGGTCATCATAACCAAAATATTTGAGATGCCAAAACATCTAATTGGACAACGTGATCTGTGACAAAGAGGGAGGGAGCTATCTAATCTAATACTGAAAGCGCCGGAAATAGCCAGAGCTGGGGGGTTTTTCAACTGGGCTGAAATAATGTACTCAATAAAGCAGTTCTTTGAGAAAACTAAAAGCCTCAGGGTTGCGGAATTGGTTGGGTTCATTACTCGGGACCTTTACTTTATGAGGAAAACATCAAGCATCTCAAGCAAATGAATTATGCTTAAGGAAGCAAGGAAAGACTCCAGAAAGGGAACAAGCTTTTCCCTTGACTTTAGCCTCTCAACATGCATGTAGAATATAATGGGCACCTGAATGTTTTTTTTTTTAAAAAAAAATACAGTATGTCTTCCAGTGACATGCTCTATGTCTTTCCAAAATACAGCTAATCATTGAAGCAAATGATGCTCCCCACCATACCCTTCGCTCGAAGACAGGCTGTCCAGTGAGATTGTCAAACTGCCATTCTTTGATCTTCGGTAACTTTTGGCAGAAGGAGCTTGAGAGGCTGAATCTTCTGTTCCCTATACAGATAAAGTCACATTGTCATTTTAACATTCTGGCCAATTACACATGCCTCGTCTTTTCATGCCAACTGATTTATACTTCATGTTAAATCATTTGGTTGATTTGGGCTAAGAATGTTATACAAAACCAGCCATTGTGGTTTAGAAACCATGGTGAATGTATTGAGCCTGTGTGAACTCTGCCAATTTAATAAAGCAGAGTTAAGAAAATAATGGTTTTACTGCTGCAAGTGAATGCAGCTGGTATATTAGTGCTTTATATCATTTCTGAAAAATACTCAATTGTGCAGTTAATGCCCATGTACAATATCAGATCTTCTGAGTCTCCTGTTAACTTATGCAGTTCCAAGGTTGTCCGTGGGCTTCCATACTTACTTTTTGTTTAATTGCAGCCATGACATCCCGCAGGTCATGTGATGGCACATTTTGTTTCAAATACCCATCAAATTTTGAATGACACATAAGCATGTTCAGCATCTTCCGGCCATAACATCTAATGGAGGAAAAGAAAATCTTTTTAAGATCACTGAAGAACAAAATGCCATCTTCATTGGGGAAACGGCATTTCCTGCTGTTACCTTGTTTCTTGATGACAGTCCTGAGCCATCTTCACTAATGTCTGCACTAACAACTCTGTACTGTCCCGGTTGCCCGAGAGCAGTTTCTCAGCCCCAATTTGTTCCATGATTGTCAATAAGTGTCCAGCAGCACATTTTCGAATGAGAGGGTTTCGGTGGCTGCAACAAAATGATCATCATTGTCAGACACAGGGTACGTTTTTGTCTCCATGCCAAAGTAGAAACCTGCCAAGGTATAGGCTGGTAGCAACAATTCTTCTAGCTCACCTTCATTTATCCTACAATGTATGCTTTTCTTAGAGTATGAATGGTAAAACATTCTCCTGTGCAAAGGAAATGAGTTGCCATCTATCGTGATGGGCAACCACAATTTCCAGCTTAATTTACAGGGTTGCTTAGTGTTCTTTCTGTTTTTCTCTGCCACTCTATTTCATGGACAAACAGTTTAAGGAATAAGCAGAAGCAGAAAGAGCTGCAATGCTAAGCCAAATTTCTGGTTTCCACTTGTAGACTCATACAGAAGAATTCAGCCATCCTCTGGCAGGGATAAGGCAAATTTTGCACCCTAGGTGCTGCTAAACTCACTCAATGCCCCTCTCCATTGTGTTAATTGGTAAGGAATGCTAGGTGCTGAAGTCAGCTACACCTGAACGGTTACACCTTTTTTCAAATTACTCTAATAATTCAGAGATATGGAATTCTCTCCTCCAACACTTTTTCTTTTTTGTAAATGCTAGCACTTACTGCTCGTGCCCATAGACCAGCAAGGATTGAGATTGCAGATGAAAAGGCAATGTACATACGTCACTCCATTGGCCATGAGGGCTGTCATTGCTCGCGAAGGAGTCACACTCTGTGCCATGATCCCCAAGGACTGGTCAGCTGCTTTCTGGATGAATTCACTAGTATCACCTGCCTTCTGAAGCAGGACTCGAGATATCTCCTCAACCTCTTGATCCATGTGCTTCGTCATAGCTTTGAACAATTCGGCAAGGGTCCCAATAGCAAATCTACATACTTTAGATCGTAAGTTGCTAACCTGATAAAGAAAGTCATATGATCTTATATACTTTTGCAAATTGTAAAGAACAACAGCCAGAGAATCAATACAGGGTCATTTTCTTATCCAAATAAAGATTCCCAAATTTAGCAATATGCAAAATCCCTGGATTAGATGTCTAAAACTAGTATCTCTTATTTTATCTACTTATATTTTTATCTCACCATTATTACTTTATAAGTAACTCAAGGCAGCATAAATACATAGTACCTTTTCCCCATATTTCCCTCATAACAACAACTTTGTGAGGTGAATTGGGCCGAGAAAGAGTGACTAACCTAAGATCACTTAGCTGGGTTTCATGCATAAGACAGGACTAGAACTCACAAATTCCTAGTTTCTAGGCTAGCATCATACCCACTACACCAAACTGGCTCTTATTTTTCTCCTACTTCTGCATGTTACTTTTACATACAGAAATTTATTGTACAAATTTTTACAATATATTTTCCAAGTTCCATGAGAACTTGTACCAAGAGATTATATGTACTTGCCCAAAAAGCTATTATAAGCTCCTAGGTCTACAGTATTTCTTTATAGAAAAAAATAGAAAACCTTTATTGCTATTTTCCATGTGACAGCCAAATTTTGCCTTGTTTTTATCTTGACTAACACTTTTTAAACTCTAGGATAGGGTCTTGGTTTATTATAATTTTAGAAAAAAATGAGAGACCAAAATTATGCCAATGGTTTCCTAATATTTGCCAAGAGAGGAAGCATAATGGCCTTTGAAAACTCTGCTGATAGCAGCCTATCAGCTGTTCAAACAATGAACAAGTGTGGAGTTGGCTTGTGAATTTGCTTAGCTCTTGCTTTTTATTAGAAGGCTTTAAATGAGAGCAATAAAACCTCTCTGTTAAGTGGTCAAATACAGTAAACAGAAAGTCTGCTGTAAGCAGCTCCATGAAATTAAGTCCCAGGAATGCAAGAACTAGCTAGCTCCCAACATCCAGTAGGGGTTTTATAAGAAGGCCAAACTGTATTTAGGTCTGGGAAAATGGAAAATGCAAGTATTGGATTGGTCATGCAATTTTGGTTATATTTCCCCTTTCCTAAGAATCAGTGAAATTCCATTGGTAGACGTTTGTAGTTAAGACACAGTAGTCTGTCCTTCAGAAAACCTGGAACTCTATGAGTCTATACAAAAAATCATTCATTCATTCATTCATTCATTTAGTTAAGAGACTGCCAAATTCTAAATTACTCTGGGTAGCAACAACAAAGAAACAACCACCATCCTATAGTAAGATCTAAGAGGAAACTCAAGTTTTTAATGACTTTCTGAATACCATTAGGGTGGGAGCCATATGGATCTTTGGGGAAATGCTATTCAAAAAGCAGCTGCTGAGACAGAAAAGGCACCTTCCTAGATCCTGAGAGATGGCATTGTTTAATCAAATTAATTAGCGTCTTAATACTAAGCCATAATAAATGAGTTCATATATCACTCTAAGCAAGAGGTTCGAGCAGGGTGACAAGAGAGGGGGCAAATAATATCACTTGCATCACAACATTGGTATGCAAACTATATTATTTAAATATATCTGGCGATATCTGGATGTAAACATGAAACACCAGGCTTTACATCATGATGGCCCAAGACATATCATTGTAATATCACTGTAGCATGCTATGATTCCAAGCAAAAAACAACAACAACAACAACAACAAATAAATTCTACTATCCTTCAGCATTGTGCACAAGCCAAGTTTATGAAGGAATGGTTTGATGGTAACCATGGATAACTTTCAGTAGCAAGGCATTTGACAAGACAACTTGAGAATTTTCCACTACTTTTGATCAAATTTTAGTTTTCATATGCAATGGGTTAGTTACCAGAGCACATGCAGAATGTAACTATACAACATGACATAAATATACAGTATATGTAAGAATAGATTTATTTAATGCTCCTCATTGAATCTCAAATACACATAAGCAGAAGACTTCCCCTTCTCCAAAGTATTGTTTTATGTCCTTCATAATAACATGAATGATCCAGACTTTCAGATTTTTACATTGTATTTATTATTTATTTTGATACTTAAAGTCAGTGTTGCCTGCTGGCAACTGCTTAGACAAGTCCCTGCAATTATCTTGGCAACATTTTCAGAAGGGGTTTGCCTTTGCATTCTTCCTAAGGCTGACAGACAGCCTCAAGTTTTTAAGGCTCATGATCCTTCAGCTGGCTTCATACTAAAACAGGACTATAACTCACAGTTTAACCACTTAACCACTGGCCCAAACTGACTCTTAGATATTCCTAAGTACTAAAACTAAAATGTTCAATTTCATTCTCTCTTTTCTGACATAACTTGCCAACTTTATTTTACATATAGAATGTAATTGTTATACAAAACTGTCACAGTGTCTATGTCATATATCTTACACAGAAGAAGCCATAACTCAGTGGAGAACATATGCTTTCTATGCAGAAAAATATATGTCATTTCTAAACCTGTTTCCATTAGATTTGATGAAAGATATATGCTTCCACAGTAAGACATGTTTCTTAAGCTTATACTTTGCTGTCTAAGATCTGGGAAATTTATCATGAGTAGGCTACCTGAACAAACATATTTCACTCTGCAGAATACAATGATAGTACTTTTCCAGCTACTGTTTAAAACACAACTGAATACTGTATACAGCATATATTCACAGCTGCAAGAACAGATTTTACATCTTAAAATCCTAAATGTGACAAGAGAGACCTTTCTCAAGACAGACCTCTCTCATTTTGTTCATAGGCACCTCCCCTGAATCAACCAGACAGTAAAACAACACAATTGGATATACTCTGGCTATCTGAAGGACTCCCTTGACCATAGGAATATAAGCTGATGAGACGAGAGGAGCACTAGCAAGTGGGCTGAGGGGAAAAATGCAGAGATAATTTTTAGATTCTACACCAGCAGTAACTTGAGTTTGGAAGTAAAGAACCTATACAGCATGTGCCTGATGTAATCTCTATATACAGTATCTATATTAGGGTGCACATTATTGAATCCTTCCCTAAGCTAATAATAGTGAGTGCAGAAGAGTCCAGAATGTTTCCCACACATTGGGAAGGAAGAAACAAAATCACTTTGCAAAGCCAAATGCAATCCAGACACAAAAAGTTACTCTAAAGTAGCCTTGCTTTAACTAGAGCCCTTCAAATATCTTGGGATTCAACTTTCAGCATCCTGCCTGATTAGAAATATTAGGAGAGTAGCAGGATGGGAAGCTGTTCTAAAAATGCACATAGCAGATGAACAGCTCTGTTCATTTCTACTCTGCACTTCCAACCTACTGAACCATGTCCAGACAGCCAGACAGCCATTTTAGTTGTGCTGAAAACAATTGGATTTTGGGAAGTTTACAAGAATTTTACAAATAAAATAAAATAATAAAACATCCCAATTTTTTTTAAAGTACATTAAAATCAAAACTGTCATGATCTTCAATAAACATATTATTCTCAAGTGTTACTTCAGGTCCCATAAGCCTTTTGTAGTTTTTATAAACCATGTAGTTTTTAGCAGCTTCCAAAAAGTTAACCATGTGTGGGAAGTTTTTCATTGTAAAGCACAGGCACGGGCACTGAAAACTATACCTCTTGAGTTCCACCCCCTGTCACTTTGCAATGGTAGAGGCGGAGCCCTGGTATCTTCCGCTGGAAACCATGGACTTTCACACTTCATTCTGCTCCATCCTCTCCATCTTTTGCTCTCCTATCCTTCTCCTCATCAGCATAAATTATACATTATCTTAAAGCATGTTTTTTAAAAGCAGTTTTATACAAATACACATAGGAGCACATTTGACTACTTTGTATACCTTGTTTTCCTCTAATTTTATTCCCACCCTGAAGGTAATAAAAAGTGCATTAACTTTTTTCTAGTATAAATAAACATAAATAGCACATTGGGCAGACACACAGCTGCACAAAAGTATAAAAGCTGCTTGGAGACATACTGACTAAATAGAAACAGATTGGAAAGCATCAGGTAATCCACCAGAGAAGATTGATTGGACATATGTTAAATATTCATTCCCAACCTCCTTTGTAGCTGCCAAGGAAACATCATGAAGTCTACTCTGCAGAACTTCTGAATGGCAGGTAGCCAAGCATATGATGTTGAAGAGTCCTTTCTCCTTCAGGTGCCTGAGAGGCAGTTATCAGAAAGATGGAAAATGAGAAAAAGACAAGAGAAATCATTAGTCTCACCTGGCATTTTGCAGAAACCTCATTTCTCATACTTGGTAAGACTGCGTGTGAAAATGATATATGTCACAAAAGTAACTCAATAGAACTATAGAAAAGTAAAGACTCAGAAATTCTCATACACAGTGTATTTTAGAACTACTTCCACTCACAATAGAATTCCCTAGGCCCCCAGGCTCAAAATTCTGGGCCTGGACAATCTGGAACTGGTCCGCCTGCGGTCCAATCTAAGCCTAGTTCACAAAATTGTCTGCTATAACATCTTGCCTGTCAATGACTTCCTCAGCCTCAATCACAACAATACACAGGCAAACAACTGATACAAACTCAAGGTAAACCACTCCAAACTCGATTGCAGAAAACACGACTTCAGCAACAGTGTGGTCAATGCCTGGAACACCCTACCTGAGTCCACTGTTACAGCTTCAACCCCTCACAGCTTCAACTTCAAAGTGTCTACCATGGACCTCACCCCATTCCTAAAAGGTCCTTAAAGGGGGTATGCATAAGTGCACCAGCGTGCCTACCTTCCTGTCTTACTGTTCCCATTTACTCCCTTGTTCTTGTTTATGTTCATACTTATACTTGTTATCTTGTACACATTTGACAAACAAATAAATAAAAATAAAATAAATAGAAATAAAAACATTTTATCACCCATGGATATAGTGTATATACCATACAGAATCCCCTGAGAATTAAGCTGGACAAGAGAAGGTGATTTATCTACTAGTTCTGCATAACAGGCTCTATCCTTGGAAATGGCTGAGACCGAAAAAGAAAGCTTTTATTCTTTGCACCACTTTATTCTTATTATACTACGCTCCCCAGCACCATCTTACTACATTAACAACTTTGCCTGTTGGTGACAAAAAAAAATGAAGATAGGTAATAAATTCCAAAATAAATGATTGTATTCCTTTAACTTCCTTGTCATCCAACATGTTTCTATAATTTTCTGCTTCTCATGTATTTAAAGATGTTTCACTCTTGGACTTACTAGCAGTATGCTCCACCAAAATGCTGTTTTTACACCATTTCTGTGTGGTCCTCTTCGTGCTCTTCATTTGGACAATGCTTCAGTTTTCTGAAGGAATTTTTATTCTCCCAGATAGCTTGATGTCTATGGAGATTATCAGTCATCCAGGTCATGGATGTCCCAAAGGTGCTTTTTCAAAAGGCAACTGGACTTTGTTTTTTCTTTGAAGACATTTTGCATCTCATCCAAGAAGCTTCTTCAGCTCTCACTGGATGGGGAATGGAAGGATTTATATGCCTTGCAGACAGCTGGGCACTTGCCTTCTTTCAGCGAGTTGTTGAGGCCACCTGGAGGTTTATCAGTGTTGTCAAGGTCACCTGAGTAGTGCAAATGGATGTGAAGCCATAGATGATGCCATATATCCTTCCCCTCTGTTGAGAGAGGGCTGTTCAATTTTGACATAGATGGCCTTTTTGACCCCTCTTTCAAACCAGCGGTTCTCTCTGTGGACTGTGCTGTCTTCAAAATAGTGGCCTTTGTCTTTTAAATGTAGATGGACTGCTGAATCTAGTCCTGATGGGTCCCAGATAGCTTGTCTGATGTTATTCATTACCTACACTTACTGTTGGACCTGGCTTTCCAAACTTAGCTGCATGTTCATGTTACATGACACACTGTGGGTATCCTCAGGAGAAGCATGGTGGAGGAGGAGAGAAGTACAGCTGTGTACTTTAAGCCCAGCTCCTTTTAAATATGCATTGCAGATGCAACATTTGGCAAAAACAGGGCGGGGCCCTGCCATGCAATGGTGGCACCAACTTAACTTTTTTGATACCTTCTATAGATGTCTCCGCCTTAGCTTCTTCTTCCCCTAAGCTGGTCAGACCCACCAGCTATTCTATGAGGGAGCACTAAAAATTACAATTACATAGAACCCATCCCTCTTCCTTATTTTTTTTCTCTCTCTTCTTACATTGGCTTTTTGTGATAAGGAAAAAAAAAGCTAGGCATGCAACATCAACTGGACATAGTGCATGGCAAAGTCAAATCTCAGAAGAGCCACAGAGTTATGGGGAGCCACTGTAAGGTACCACCATGGAAAGGAAATCACAAGAGGTGGAAGAAGGCATGAATTCTTACAGGGGGAAAAAGCAGTAAATCTGGCTATGCTGCCTTTCTTCCTGAACGTAGGGGTAAGATTGCAGGCTCCATAGCATTCTCATCACACAGACATTATAATGATGTGGTTTAGAGGAACCCACATATCTGAGAACCTTTTCTCAATGTTTTTTTTTCATTTCCCCCCATTTTGAAGACATTTCCTTTTTCGAAATTATAATGATTGTATTACACTTCCTACCCAACTTGCCTTTAATGCATAAATTACAAATGTAAACATTTTTGGTGGCCATCTGCAGTTCTTTCTGCCCAATGTACATCCTAGGTCTTGACATCACAGACTTTCACACAGCTAAGAAAGTAGTGTTCTTCTTTTCCTTACCAATCATTGCTACTGAGCCACTTGAGAGCATCGATTAATTCATGTTCTGGATGAGACAAAGGTCTTATCTCAAAGGCATCCCTATTTACAAGATCCTCTTCCCATTCTGGAGAGTGTTGGAGATTTGCTGGCAGGGAATTAGCTGTAAACATAACATTACACTCAAATGTCATTACAATATAGTACATTCAAATGTTATTATCAATATATATACATATCTAAGTCACATCCTACTGAAAACATGATGGTTGTGCTGTGTTCTGGAAGAAGAAGACTCAGAAGTAGAGACAGAAAATGCACATCTTTTCCTTCCAGGCCCTTCTTCCCTAATTGTTTAAGAGGTGTGAAAGAAAACACTTAAGATTCAAATAATAGAGTTGCCCTTGTCTGGCAACAAAGCAGCCATCATATCTCAACAACTCAGGCTACAGGTACATCCTCACAATGGCTCTTCTCACCCAGTGAGAGACAGCACTGATGTCATGAAAGCATCTAACATAATGCATAGTGCAGGCACCTTCTTTATAACTTTTTCCTACAAAACAAATGTAGGAAGTCCATGAAATCCTTTTCCATTCATATTATAGCAAAAGCAAAAAGGGTACGTTTTAAAAGCTGGCAAAAAAAAATTTAATGTCACACCTGACGCATGTCTCAGGAAGTTGCTCTCTTGGCTGATAACAGGAATGCTGGGCAATGAGGGCCTGTTCACTCGTTTCCTTAAAGCCATCCCAACAGAAGCTCTGCAGGGGTTGCTCAGGTTGAGGGTAACAGGGGTGGCTCCATTGTGATTAAGCCAACTGGATCCTGCGGAAAGTAATTTAAGGGGGTCAGTGAAGGATGGAGCTAGAAACATCTGCCAGAACACGCCATGAAAGGAGAAAACAATTCATTCAATGCACTGTTGGACCAATGGATGTTCACATTAATAATTGATCGAGACTATTTTACTTATCCTCATTAGTATTCCAGTTTTATTATTTTTTTTATTTTAAAAATATCCAAAAAGAATTAAACTGCTTATATGACCTTATCACCTTTTGACACACCGGCCACACATTATCTTTACTGTATGTATTTGTTAATGTAAACTGATCAAGAAAGTGGAGGGTTTTATTTTATACATATCACCTTGATTTCATTTTTGGGATGAGGAATTTGCTTCAATGTCAGCATTTAAAATACAATTTCCCATGTAAGCTCTTTTTAAAAAATTCTAATCACCATTCTCTGCCTGTAACTCTGAATCGTGTGCCTTTTTTCATTTCCTTTTTGGTGAGTTGATCAAAGATTTAGTTTGATAACATTTATGTTCTATGCTTTAAAACAGGGATTTCTAAACTTTTTGCCATCATACCTCCCTTTGGTGTAATCTTAATGCACATGCTTCTCCTAAAAATACAAATACCAAAATAAACACAAATCAAAACAAGAAGGAAACTTTGAGAAAGATGGATTTATTGTAACAGTACAACAAAAATGTTCTTCACATATTCCATATTCCAGGTCTTTGTCTGCACTTCCCCAAGGGAGGTACCCCTTAGATTTGAAAAACCCTGCTTCGGAGCATCTTATTTCACTTTCTTTTCTTTCATTTCCATTTTAGAGGTAAATCTTTTTTGTGACCTTGTTTGTGGTTCTCATTGGTTATCTTTTTAATGCAAGCCAAGTCCCATTTAGAAGTGGAAGGGGAGAAAATTATTGGGGAGGGAAATCAGTAATGGAACTAAGTAGATCTAGATCAAGGCTGTCTAACCTTGGCAAGACTTATAGGCTTAAACTCCCAGAATTCCCCAGCCATGCACGGGGGTAGGGGAATTCTGGAAGTTGAAATCCACAAGTCTTAAAGTTGCCAGGGTTGGACACCCGGATCTAGACAATCAAGTAAGGCACCTTCCAGCCATCTTTTGCTTTCTTTCCCCAGTCCAAGGGGTAAGTCTAGTTTGCCTTGCTTTATGTCATTTTTATTTATTTTATTTATTTATTTTATTTGTCAAGCATGTATTAGATAACAGATATAATTAGTACATGATTCTGATTACATGAAATGGGTACGAATAAAAGGGGACATTAGGACAGCGACAGTAGGCACGCTGGTGCGCTTATGCACACCTCTTACAGACCTCTTAGGAATGGGGTGAGGTCAATAGTAGACAGTCTAAGGTTAAAGTTTTGGGGGTTTGGGGAAGAAACTACAGAGTCATTGTAGCAAATGGGTCTAATCCTTTCTACCTATCCCATTCTGAAAGAACTTCAACATTCACACGTGAAACAGCTCAACAGTTTTAAATTATGCATACATATATTATTCTGGCATTCTTTTGCATGTGAATCAAAAGGTGAAATGTTTCAGATTTTGAAGAAAGGAAATACAAAAGCTGCTACCTAATTAATCAGGGATGCTATTTTAATTAAGTGCAAGCTTTTTTAAAAGTTGAATTAATCAGTGTATCAACTAAAGATTATAGCATTTTGAGCTCAATAAGATAATCTTCATTCCACATGTACTGGTTGGTCCTAGAGGTACACTTTAAAAAAATATCATAATGGGCACTTGTCCTCCAGAAGACCACCTTTTCTCCCAAATTCTGAAAGGATAGCCTCTCAGGAAAAAAAAGCAAAAAAAATAAATAACCAGGCATAAATGTCTGGTTTTTTTCAGAATGCTGCAGCAGAGAGCATTGCCAAAATTTCTTACAAATGCCCCCAAACTTACAGCGCATACTTCATAGAAGCAATATTGATGCTCCTTCTGAAAGCTTTAGGAGCATGCATATTCTTAAAACAAATAAACACTTTATACAAAATATGTTCCCTCTGTCATAATTTCTTTAAAATTAAATATTGTTGTGCACCTTGTGGTCTTAAAAGCACCCACAGTCTCAAAAGCTGTTCAAATGGCCCTTGGAGAACCTTTTAAAGTTGCCAGGAAAGTGAAAATTGTAATGCGCTTGAAGAGGAAAACCACTAAATCCATTGAATATGATCATGTTATTATATTTAACCGATTTAATGTACTTTTAATTTGGGTAAAATTAAAATTAGCTTTTATCCTGGACCCTAATAATTTTTCATGTGCAAGTCCCGTTATGTTACACAAAAGCCAAAGGTAGCCTTCAATCTGAAAGTGTCGTGTACTCTGGGTTTCTGGGAAAACAGCAAAAGCAACTGTGTGTTTCCAGCAATATAATTTTCCCAGAAAAATTATATTGCTGGACAGACAGTTGCTGTTGCTGTTTTAAAATACATGGTTTGAACAAAACATAATGTCAGATCCAACATTGTCCCTGATAGGGACTCTCTATCTTTAAAACATAAAACCCATAGAAATTCACCTGATGTCATGAATTTTTCTTCCTTTCTGGTATCTTTATTCAGAGTAAAGACAATCTCATCTAATGTCAATTGTTTACATAAGCAGAATCTCAAACCTTCAGAATCTCATTCCAGCCCAAGATGTTATTCAGGAAAAAAGAGTTCTGAGATTATCACATACCACGTTTTTAGGGGTCTTCCACTTCTTCTTGCATGCTAAAGTTTCTGAATGTTAAGGGAATCTATGATTATGCAAAACTCTATTGAGAACTGTAGTGGAATGTAACCTGGATTCCCAGGAGGGAGGGGCTGAATTCCAGAGGGCAAAGAGACAGCAAAGCTTAAATAGTCTGGTCACTAGAAAGAGAATTAAGAAGACTTCTCCCTAGCAATTCTCAGATTATATCTATAGTGATGCAAATAATTGCTTTGGTTTGGCAAGATTTCTGTCTATAGGTGAAGAAGAATAAAAGAAACTGCTCAGAAATTTCACATGTCTTTCTTGCTAAAAACAAGAACCCAGCATGAATGGGGCACAGTTGTTTCAATAATTTAAAAAAAAAAACTTTTAAAAATTCATTTTAACTGGCACTATTTTAAAAAAATGTTGTAAAGCAGCTACTATCAGAATTTTAATTTGCCAATATACTGTAATTCCCGACTAATCTATCGTTGGATGCTGCAACTTCAAACCAATCAGACAATGTGCTTTCTAACAGAGCTGGATTGTTTAACCTATTTTTCCTACTGCTGTCTAGGCTCCATTTTAATCCACCTTAAGTTCACCATGAGTGCAGGGGTAGGGGGAGTGGGTAAGCTCCTTAAGGTTGGCACCAGACCATTTCTAATGTGATCGGACAAAATAAATCCATCTGCAAAATTAAATTTCCCTCTTCTTTTACATTAATCACATACCGTCCAGAACATTTCTTGACTGTTGTTCCTGGATTTTTGTGGATCTTTCATTTTCTCTCTCTTTCACTTTCTCCTTTTCTTTGTGAAAGAACTCTATCTCCTTTCGCTGCTTTTGACGCATTTTCTCCTGAGCTGACTTGGATATTGTGACATGAATCTGGAGGCAATAGAAGCATGCACATGTCATACAAATGTATATATGTGTATGGGTGCAGGTGCAGGCACATACAGAGAGAGAGAGAGTAACTTGTACCCAATAGTAAAGAGACAGATGAACTGGTTACATTATTATTATTAATCTATTATAACCCGAATTAAATATTTTATCAATGTGAATGATGGTTTCACGCTCTTCATTTTTCATTGGAGTCTACCTGAATGGTAATGGTAAGCCATGGTAAGTTCTATCAATTTAGCATGGGGGTGTCAAACTCAAGGCCTGGGGGCCAGATCCAGTGGGGTGCTTAGATCTGGCCCACGAGACCGCCCTGGAAACAGTGAAGGACTGGCCCACAGTGCCTCTGCAAAAATGGAGCTCAGGAGGGTGCCCTTCCGAGCTCTGTTTTCGCTGGCAGAAGGCTGCAGGAAGATCCCCCCAACCCTACCCAGGCCAACACAGGTGCCCCCAACATGAGTGACATTGAGCTGGCCACACCCACCCTGGCCATGCCTACCTGGCCCCCCGAGGTCAAACACAACCCTGATGCAGCCCTCAATGAAATCGAATTTGACACCCCTGATTTAGCATGTGTAATTCAGGTTGGGCTTTTAAAAAGTGAGATTCAAGCCATATTACACATGAATCATGACATGGCAGATTCTCTCACTAGATCTCTGAGCATCTTTACACGTTTCTATAAAGATGGAAGAAGGAGCAGCGCTGTTAGAAGAGACTTGAATGCCAGCCATTTAATTCTTGATTTAAGTCTGAAACTAATTGCAAAGCAAAGAAAGGGAAAATGGATCATATGTAACACAGGTACCTGCTGAAGTTTCTTTCATGCTTAACAGCAGTTTTGAGACCAGAAGCCCAATTTACATTAGTGAAATGGTGCAGGAGAAAAAGCATTAAAGCCCAGTTCCTAATGATACAGAATTTGTTATACTCATAAAAACACACCAGCTGCTTTTCAAAGGAAAACATAAGGAACTCTAATCCTGTATTCCCCTTACCTCATATTATTTGTCACCCAAAGTTGGAATTATTAGACAAAGCTTAATTTGAGGCAGATATTGAATCAGAAAAAAATATCAAGGGATGTTGTACAACATCAGAAAAAAATAGAGCAAGAAAAAAGACCTGCAGCAAAAAAAAATTATATAAGCAATCTATTATGAAATCACGTGGATGTATTGCTATTTTGGGACTGAAGTTAAGCCCATACTGACCCTAAAGCTGTTTAGCCCCCCAGATAGAAAAGCTTAAACAACACAATTCTGAATTGATTAGAAAGAATCTGATCTGGGACAGATAAAATGGAAGTGGTAGATACCCTTCCTAATCAAATCACATTGTGTTGAACATAAATTGCTTGTATCAAAGGCCAATTCTCTACTTCACATTTATTATAATGTTCACACATTTTCAATGTGACCTGTATTCTTTTGCATTCTATAAAATGCAATGCTATACTTAAATTATGTATTCATTCTGGTAGCTTTTGCTGTGTGTGGAGTACAAGTGTGCGGATATCACACAGACTTTGTTGATATTACACAGTAATTAATAACAAATGACTCAAATTTATTCCTACCACTTTATTACCTACCATTGAGAGTCAAGCTATTTATAAGCCTTTTTGGTAAATCTTTGAAAAGACCAATATAATGTCTTTTCCTAAGATGCTGGAATGGAATGGAAAATCGTAGCTTTTAATCCAGCCTTTGCCCTGAATACACAGAGGTTGATTTCGAGCCAGGAGCTTTTTCTGCATGATCTATCTCAAGGAGCTATTTGTGGAGAGGAAAGCTAGAGCAGAGAGACTGCCTTGAGCTTTTGAAGAAAAGCCCTTTATAGAAAGGGTGGAGGATGGGTGGATAAATGGATGGAAGGACAGATGGATGGAATTCCAGCCAAGGCCAGCCCTATTGGGCAAAATGAAGTGTGGGGAAGCCACTAAGTTTTTCATTACTTAATACATTATCACTGCCTTTCTGTTGGAGAGGGAAGCATTCATATTGATGGCTGAGATCCTGCATTGTTCATCCTGCCAGTATTACTTCCGGGTTTAGGCCCCATTCCTTCTGTTTCCTCCAGAAATTCCTTTCCAAAGCTCTATCTCAGAAGAGATTCATCACTCATTGCTTGATAATTGCCAGCTTTGCAAATGGCAGAGCCAAGCCTATCAAGCTCAGCTATGATGTCCGCCTTCAAAATAGCATTCCCAATATCCCTTCATGCCAGTTTGAGTGCTTGTAATATTTTCTTTACTTTTTCCTGATAAATGCCAACCTTAAAGGCACCTTGGCCTTCATGCCAAAATGCAAAAAGATGGAAACAGAAACTGAAACATACCCTTCCATTGCTTTCTTTCCATTCATCATCTTTTAACAGGTGATGATTTGAAGGCAAGTCCTCTTCCTTGGCCAGACAGAGAGAGGAGGTGGCCGGTAGCAGTAAGGATGCCAGTGATCCCCCAACAATCTTCAAAGGTGCAGCAAAGCCATTATGGAAAGCAGGTTCAGACAATCTAGTTTCTGATAAGCCAATTTTAAAAAACAATGGAATGTATTACTGTGGACTGTAATTATATATGCAATTTTTAAAAGAGTTTGTGAAGACAGTGAGAGCAAAGAAAAAAAATCAAGGGGCATTACAACGAATTGAATCATTCACTGTAGATGGAGATAAAGGGCTCTTGTTCATAGACAGGTATTGTACCAGTATAAAATTTACTGTCCCATTGATGATCCTCATCCTGCCACAAACACAATGTCGATAAACGCTGCTGTTCTTATTTATGGAATTTAGGAAACATTAAGGTCAGAGATTGGTGTTGCCTCTGACTTTCTTTTCCTCTTCTCTTATCAAACTTCACCCCAGCATGAAAATATCCATAAATCACTTTCCCTAAACATAGAATAGGCTGTGCTAAGAAAAAAAAAGTGAATTAAGGCAGAGGGCTAGACTGACAGGTTAATCACCTGTGAAAATTCAATCTGCCTTGTGCAAATATTTTGTATGATTGTATTGCCAGAGAAGCCAGCTGATGGACTCCTTTCAGAGCCAGATGAAAGGATACAGTTCCAGAAGAGCATTAAATCCATCTTCAAAGGAGCCTAAATAGCAGCTCACAGCAGATCTGGGAAAGGCTCTCAATAACTATCACCCACTAATGAGGGAATTTATTAAGAATCCTTCCATCTCTACAAGCATGGGACTGTTTAGCTGACCCAGAGGTAGGTTGACATATATGTTTACTCTAATTTCATTACTAAATTGACATAAGCTTCTGAATAAACAATTTACTAAGTCTGCATTACTATTACTATTACTATTCATCTTCTTATCCTTCCTTTCACCCATCTCCTCCCACTTATGACTGCATGAAAGTAACTTTGTTGCTTGTATCCTTATTATTTTTATTGACTGTTTAGTATAATTTGATTTAATTTGATCGCTTATTATTATGATTTAATTGCTTATTTGTACCCTTTGACTACTATTAAGTGTTATACCTATGATTCTTGACGAATGTATTTTTTTTCTTTTTATGAACACTGAGAGCATTTGCACCAAAACAAATTCCTTGTGTGTCCAATCACACGTCAATCACACGGCCAATAAAGAATTCTATTCTATTCTATTCTATTCTGTTCTGTTCTGTTCTGTTCTGTTCTATTCTATTCTATTCTATTCTATTCTATTCTATTCTATTCTATTCTATTTACCTGGGATTTTAAAATGTACAGATGCCAACCATCAATTCCTTGGGAAGGTTGAAATAAACTTATTTCCTTGATACAGAGTGACCTGTTCACACTTTCTAACTGTGTTAGTTCCAGTGGATAATAATTCCCATCAATACTCTCTCTGTGTGTCTCTCCCTCCCTCCCTTCAGCTCCTGAAATAAAGAATAAATACTGTAGCCTCTTTCCTTCTTTCTTATTCTCCGGCCAAGAACTGGCAAGTTGAATTATATGAGGGAAGTTTTTATCTTGGCAGTACAGTAATTATTTATTCCCTGGACTGATCATTACAACCTAAGTTAGAATAAGAAGTGCTCTCTCCAGGTTAGACAGAGCTCATGTGCAGAAGATATGTGTTCTCAAGTTCCAGGCTCAATTCCAAGGCAACTCATCTGAAATCTTGGAAGGAGGTGCGATCAGGGAGCACCAACCCTATTGAGCTAGAGAGACCAATATTTTGATCCTATAACGTGCACAAATAAGTCACAGAGGGACAAAATTGGGTAGGAGAATAAGTAAAAGTTAACTAATGGTGCTAATAAGTGTTATGTGGCAGGAGCTTTTCTGTTTTAGTTCTATTATTATTATATACACAAAAATGTGAAATCATAGCTGTCAGTTCTTTAGCTGGTATTGGCCATCATACACACTGAGTTCTTTCCAAAAACCTAGGATGTTGCACTGAATCGGCATAACATGTGTACAGCAGATCCAAGCTCTGTGGCCTTTTGTAATTGACAGGTGGAAATTTTGTCAACGTGCAGATTTTCTAAGTACTGTCCAAGATTTTCCAGTATTATTATGTTATAATGTGAACAGGAATTGAATCTAAATGGCTTTTGTAGTTATATTCTATTTGTTTATAAATTTATAAATATTTATATTCTATTCTATTTCTATTTATCCTAAGATCAGGATCAAGATAGAAGCAGAGAAAAGAGTCAATGAATATGAGCCACAGAAAACTGTAAAGGCCTCAGACAAAAATAACAAAAAGGTTGCTTTGCTATATTACTGTATCCCATAACACAGTATATGCTATATGAATGGTTTAGTGAAAACAGCAAAAATATTAAATATGCATTCTAACATCTTTGACTGCTAGATACTGGATCTAAACTCCAGATTTTGGATCCAGATGAAATACCTGTTCTTGTTTGCAAAGAAATTAAACTGCAGCGTAAAAGAATACAGCTAGCTTAAAGTAGTTATCGCAATAAATTTGTTTTCAAGCGATCTCTGCTGTGGAATAATTATCAAGGCAAGCAGCTTTACCCTTTGAAATTAACACCTTTGACCAAGCAGTCACCCCAGGATAAAATGTGACATTTCATTTTAACACACAACAAGGAATGATCCAGCTGAGCTTTTAATACCAGTGAGAATTTAAAAGGATCTGCTTAAAAAAAAAACCAACGAACTCAAGCTATAAGCCAATCATAATTTATACAACAATGTTGTTTAAAAATCAATAACATATTTTAGTGTGTTTAATTCATTCCAGCCTGGAGCACTTTTACTGCGAAAGCTGCCATGGGGGGTAGGGGGCTATCATTTTCACTATGACAATAGAAATAGGTTATTTCAGCTTCATTAATTTTTATTTATTTCATTTATATTTATCTACTGCCTTTCTCCATAGTGCTCAAAGTAGCACATATGATCTATTCTCATAAAATCAGGTAGCTCAGACAGAGAAATAAAATTCAGATATTACCCAAATAAAAAATTCCTAGTATTCATCTTAATAAGATGAAGATGAGAACCCTCTGCCAAACTTGGTTAATCTTGGGGAAACGAAGCAGGGTCCAACCTGGCTACAACAAAAATTCCAAGAATATCATTTGTATGATTTCCACAATGTCATTAAGAAAGCTACTCTGCATGGATGTTTCCAAGAAGTCACCAAAAGTTATATAAATAATTTTCGTTATTAATTTCCTTTGATTAAAGTACAGTTGATTTTTTTCATACAGTCTATTCTTACTGACCCTACCAATCAGAAGGAGTTTGCCCATCCTTCTCACATAAGAAGGAAAAATGAGAGAATTACCTACTCACTGCCCAGCAGTACTGAATGAGAAAGGGGATCTCCACTGCAAAAGTTTGAAGCACATTTAACTTATCTTGAAATATCCAACCATTGTTTAAGTTCAAATAAATTATTATATGTACCTACCCAGTGTTTTTTTGCTGTTGTCTTCATCATTTCCAGACTTTGATAATGATCTTAAAGATAATTGGGTGGAGGGAAATGAAAAGAGAGAGATATATATATTAAACTGTCTTTCACACAAAAAAGCAAATATAATAATTTAGGGGGCTCTTAGTTAGAAAGAGTTGTGGTGTTGCAGTGGTTAGAATGCAGTACTGCAGGCTAATTCTACTGACAGCTGGCTGCCAGCAGTTCAGCAGTTTGATTCTCACCAGCTCAAGGTTGACTCAGGCTTTCATCCTTCTGAGGTAGGTAAAATGAGGAACCCAGACTGTTGGGGGCAATAGGCTGATTCTTTAAACCACTTAGAGTGGGCTGTAAAGCACTATGAAGCGGTATATAAGTCTAAGTGCTATTGCTATAGAAGAAACTTCAAGTACAATAAGTTGTTGGAACTCCCATTTTGCAGGGAGTGTCTGAAGTGGGCCAAGAAAGTAAAACTAATCAAGACAATGAAATGCTTAATTCATAACTAGCTTACAAACACAAGCAAAACAGAAATTTGAACCAAGAATTTCCCAACCCGTCATTCAGCTATTGTTCAATGCCATAAGCGTCCAGTCCCTCTTCACAAGCTGCTACAAACAAGAACAAGAGAGGCATTTGGTTTCCACTTGAAGAACTAGAAAGCTTTTGGTCTCATTGAGCCCAAACTCTCTTTTTATTCAGAATCTTAGAAATTCGTTTAGTTATACAGCACTGCAGTGTAACTCGTGTTTCTAGTTGAATGAGTGAGATTTAAAATGTTCTTAATGAAATTGAGAAAAGTTTACACAGGACAGTTTATAACCTATTGGAGAAGCCTTCTCCAAAACAACATCAGCGTGACCCAGAAGTATGGGAAGCGTAACTCCCAGGGTTCCCCAGCTAGTCTATCAAAACATTGCTGGGAATTGCAATGCCAGCATATCTGGAAGGTGCCATTTGGTGAAGGCTGCCTTAAAATCAACTAATGAGGCTTTTTAGATGTGACTTTGAGAAAAAGGAACAGGAAAAGCAGAAGAGGCTTACCTTCTTTTGGGACACTCATCTCCGGCAAGTGGGACACATTCTGTCGGTGGTAAGCTTGGAAAGGGTTGTGCAGCCTTCTGGGAATTTTCTTCACATGCCTTTGCTAACTTGGGGATGGGTGGGATCAAAGCAGCACCTAAAGACTTTTTTGGATTCTCATCAGGACCATGCATCCCTATCTACAGGGATGGAAAGGAGAAAAAAAAATAACTTTAAAACTCTGCTGAAAGTGAACCTTGAGAACCAGGTTATTTGAGCAACCGCCTCTTCCCATTTTATCTACTGTTTTTAACTGTTTGTTTTATTATATGCTGTCTAGAGTCATATTTGTTTATCTGAATACTTATCAAATTTATTTGGCACCTATCTATTATACGTGCAGCCATATCAATTAGTTAAAGCAATTCTTAAGTGTATATTGACTTATTGCAATACAAGTAGTCTTTGCTTCCCAACTGCCCATTGAGTAACTGTTTGAAATTATGACAGTATACAAAAAAAAAAAAAGCTTCAGAACCAAATTTCCTATTTGCAACCAGCAGAGCGTCCCATGATAACGTGATTACTATTCAGCTGCTTCCTAACTGGCTTGTGACAATAGCAATAGCACTTAGACTTACATATTGCTTCACAGTACTTTCCAGCCCTCTCTAAGCAGTTTACAGAGTCAGCCTATTGCCCCCAACAATCTGGGTCCTCATTTTATTCACCTCGAAAGGATGGAAGGCTGAGTCAACCTTGAGCCGATGAGAATCGAACCACCAAACTGCTGGTAGCCAGCACTCAGCAGGAGTAGCCTGCAGTACTGCGCTCTAACCATTGCGCTACCATGGCTCATGACAAGCAGAATTAATGGTGAACACAGAAGTAAAAATCCTAAGTCTTGGTCATGTGATGTTTTATTTAATGACTGTGTTGATTCACATAATGACTGAACAGGAACCGAGGTCATAATCCCATCACAGTCCTCTGATTTTTCCACTTATGACTGTTGTACTTTGTGAAGGAGTTGCCAGTCCCAATTGTGGCTACTAAACAAGGACTTTCTGTTACTAAGCAAGGTGATTGTTAACGGAGTTGCAGCCAATTTAATAACAGTTTTTATCACAGTGTTTAAGAGAACCACTGCAGTTTTTAAGTGAATAACATAGTCTTTAAGCAAATCCAGCTTCCTCCATTTACTTTGCTTGTCAGAATCCAACTGGGGAGATCACAAGTGGTGATCACATGTCTCCCAGGACACAGCCACTGTCATAACTATCTAAAGTAAAGGTAAAGGTTCCTCTCGCACATATGTGCTAGTTGTTTCCAACTCTAGGGCGTGGTGCTCATCTCTGTTTCAAAGCCAAAGAGCCAACGCTGTCCGAAGACGTCTCCGTGGTCATGTGGCCAGCATGACTAAACACCAAAGGCACACAGAATGCTGTTGCCTTCCCACCAAAGTGGTCCCTAGTCTACTTGTATTTTTACATGCTTTCGAACTGCTAGGTTGAAATATAGACCTGTCACCTAAGAGAAGCTTGAAAGGGGATGGAATTACAGAGATCATTTGAGTTGAGGAGATTTAAATATTCCGTTTGGAGCAAACCTATGTCAAATCTATGACAGATAACACTTCAGAAAGGACCATAAAATCAGTAGCTCATAACAAAACTATCAACTCAAGCCACCTGGGGGACCACATTCAGGAAGCCTGAAATGGAACTGAACTAAACATTTCAGCTGAGGCAATAATTCTAATTAGATGGAGAGGCTTCAGGAAAGTTTCTGCACTTATTTCACCGGCTGGAGAAAGTGAGTGATTTGCTTGAGAGTTGTCCTAAAGCCTGCCAATCCTGCTCGAAGCTCCATGCTGCCTTAAGCTTTCTTTTGTCTGAGCTGAACTTTCTCAAAGGCTTCACCTTGTCAAACAAGCTTCAACTAGCCAAGTTATTTTGATAGACAAGGGATACTTTTAATGCAAGAACCAGCAGCTGCTTTGACATCTCACTTGTCAATACCACATAAACGAAAGTTCTTGCGATTTATTTGGACTTGTTGATTCATTTGGACTTGTTTTCAGGCACAGGTATCAAGAACTGAATAATTCTTGTTTAAAACACTAATCTATACTGGCATAGCTAAGAGTCGATTAGACCATTTAGAAAAATCATGCAGGATATAAAACTCCATAATGGAAATCAGAGGTCACGTTATGTTCTCATATAGAGTGTAATACCTCTTTGCCCTTAGGAGGTGGTGCAATGGAAAAGAAAATGACAGGATAATTGGACTATTCTTACTAAAACCAAAAAAACCAAGGGGATAATAAGATGCCCCTCATCCCCAGCTAAACCAAGCTCTGCTTCAGAAAGTAGCAACTCTTGGCCAGCATTGTCAAGTTGAAAAGCTACGCAGAGTCAAGTCTGAGAAACTTGAAAACTTGAGCGGGAGACCATCAGAGCTGTAGGTTACACTGGAAAATCAAAAATCATTCCAAAATAAGGCTCTAGCAAGCCACTTCTGTACCATTGCCAAGAAAACTATAGGAATGTGTTCTGAAAGTCAGCAGGACTTAAGCTCAACTTCAAAGGGTCAAAAAACCTTATCTTTTGTTTATGCAGAACATACATTTTTCAGTTGCACAGAAATTCTCAGGAAGCAGAAAGATGAGAGAAAAAAAATCCACATCACATGAAAGCTGAAATATTTCCTTGTTTTTCTGGCTTTTCACTCCATTAATATTAGCTGTGGAATAAGAGCTCCCTCTACTTTTTTTTCCCCTTCTTTTCTTCTTTTTTTCCCCTCAAGAGTTTCAGCTCTTGACTCCTTTTAAATTCTTATTTTAAAAAACTTTACTGGAATAAATTTAACTCTCACTCTCCAAGATATCTATGTATTATTATTCCTACCAGGTAGTCTTGAGTTCTGGCCAATTTTGCAACTCTTTTGACCTTCCACCAAAGTCTGCTTTTCAGAAGAGAAGCCTATTACTTTTTTTT